GGACCCGAGACTTCAGGACACGAACGAGAACGTCGTGTAAGGGAAGTCAGCCTAGAAGCCATAACTCAGGCTACTGCTGTGGCCAAGACAAATCGGGCTCTTAGGGCTAAGACGACTCCTGATGGTGCTCGCCTCTACTCATCAGGGGATTTGGTCGATTACCACCGACCTACTGCCACCAAGGACGACCATGGAGGCTGGAATGGCCCATTCCCGGTGATCCGAAATGTGCCTGAAAGAGGACATATTGTTGTCAAGGCAGGATCTCGTGAGGTAATTGTGATGTATCCTGATGCTCGTCACACACTATACATCGAATGTCTCCTCACACGGGAACTTGGCATGGATAATATGGCCATGCAAACCGTCCTTGCTTATGTGGCACACCTCAGCGCAGGGAAACCTGCCAAAGTTTTCGGTTATATCCCCGATTACAAGGGAAACCTTAATCTGTCAGACGACAGCAAGTTCCACCCGCGCGTACACTTAGCACTACAGTATCTCGTACGAAATTACTTCCGAGTAGAACATGTAGTAGCAGTTCGACTGGCTAAGAGTGTGTCAAGCTTACCTGCAGTAAAGTACGCCACCGGGTCTACGCTGATCCACTATGACAACGACATCAGCCCGGCGTTCCACTACTACGAATGTGTGGGCACCGGCTTAAACATTTCTCAGATCACTGGTAGCACTCACTCCAGACTTATTCAATGCTTGACTTCACGTGTCCCTTCCTTAGGATTTCACGACGATTTGGTTAAATATCAGCATTCAAGCAACACGTCTGGGGAACACGAGTCGCCTGGAAACAGGCCTTCTCCAGACACACCAGATGCTTCATCGCCGAGTGAAGGCCGTCTGTCGACAATCTATGAGGAAAATGAGGAACACAATATCGAAGCTATGATGCTGGAAGAGTGGTACGACGAGCTACGTATAGACCTTCATCCTACGACGATTACTGATGATTATCTCTATTGCGTCCCAACAACTATGCTGCCCGACCAATGTGTTTTGGTTTCAGCATTTGTGGACGAAGATGATATTATATCATCAGATATGCTCGGAGACGAGCCGAAATCACGTGAATCCTGTCTAGTCTCTCTTTGTTCAACCACAACCGACGAGAGCTACTCTCTTGACAGTGATGAATATGGTCCTTACGTTGAATTATGTTTTACATCGGAAATGTCAAAAATAGTGTTGGATCAGACTCAACTTGCACAGCTCGATACTGATATGGTCGCAACGATGAGAGTATATGTATCCTCTGCTGCTAAACGTGCTGTGGTTGTCAAAGAAGATGATCTACTGACCAAAGCCGACATAGCAGCACATCCAAAGGAGGTTAGTGAAGCTTTGTATACTGAGCTCAAAATCTGGATTGATAATCGATGCTTTGAGATGTATGATTTATCCAAAGCTTCCAACATCATGACATCCAGATATGTATACAAGTGGAAGTTTGTAAAGATGGGCACCGAGAACGTTAAAACCATTCGTCTCAGACTGGTCCTTCGTGGATTTATGGATACTGAGGCTTTTGATGTGGAAACATTCTCGGGAACCGCCCGAAGGCAGTCCCAACGACTCCTGGCAAGTGAAGCGGCATGCCATCCAGAGTGGATCCTAGCATCCATGGATATCGATAAGGCGTTCCTCAAGGGTTTGACCTATGAGGAACTTGCCCATGCCACCGGCGAGGAAACTCGCATGGTTTGCTTTACTCTTCCACCAGGAAGTGCTCAGGTACTTCGTACCTTACCCGGCTTCTCATCCTACGACGAAAGTCGACGCTGTCTTAGATGCCTCAAACCAGGAACGGGTACAAAGGACGCTCCAAGAGCGTTCTCTCTCAAACTTCGTACGACCACACGAGCTATAGGACTTACACCGACCAGCTACGATCCTGAAGTTGAATTCAGCCAAGACCTTCTGACGGCAAAACATGTCGATGATATTAACATGACAGGTCTAGAGAAAAATATAGACGACCATGTACAACGTGTCGAAAAGGTGTTTGGCAAATTCAAGCTCAACAAGCACACATATACGAACTGCGCCGTTCGCTGCACTAAGAATGATCAAGGAGATGTGATCATGGACCAGGACGAGTATATCAAACAACTACGTCCTATCACACACCCAGAACTCACAGGAGCGGCGGCCGATGCCAAAGCCACGAAACTCATTACCGACATGTTCGTCAGCCTGCGAGGAGCCCTCGCCCTTGCCCTTCTTACCCAAATCTGGCTCATGGTATACGTGGTCTCTCTTCAGAAAATTCAAGAGCCCACCTATTCTGCAAGTCAGACGTCTGAATGCTGCGACGCGAAAGCTGATCAGCAGCCCGAAACGCATCACCTTTCCTCGGATGAAGCCGACGAATGAAGTTGACATCCATAGCGATTTGGGGTATCGGAAGCTTACCGGGGAGGAGGATGACGAGACCAAGGGCTACGGCATACGCGGGGCCAATGTACTACGGCGAGGAAACTCGCCTCAAGGCAAGTCAGTCGTTCACCTCTGTGACGGACTATGCAAATCACACCGATTACAGGTGAGGTCCAGTTATGCTGCGGAGGCACTTGCAGCTGCACATAACCTTGATGAGTGTTACCCTACGCTCATGACTCTCCACGAGCTTAAGGCAGGAGCTTTGACTCCACGACAACTACGAGACATGCGTGAAGTTGGAGGCCTAGCTATCAAAGTCTCTCTTACCATAGACGCCGAGTCCGTCTACAAATCTTTATCAAGCAGGGATCTCAATATACCTACAGAACGGACTCTGCTTGGACATATCAGCTGGATACGTGAGCTCATGGATATAGGTATAGTACATAATGTGCAATGGTGTGATACTAGGGATATGACCGCAGATGGGCATACAAAGGGAAGCATCGATCGGGAGCTGCTTCTGGAAGTGATGTCAGGCACTCAGTCATTTAAGTATGACGTGAAGCAATTTGTTCCCTTTCGGGGTCCCGAGGACAGAGACAAACCTAAGTCTAATCAATTTTAGTCTGTCCTTGTTGCCCTCGCGGTCCAATTTGCCAGCACGGGCGCCTACTATAAAGGCGCCCCTCTAGTTGCTCGGAAACGAGCCTTATATTTCACGCCTGGCAACGAGCCGGCTTCGCACAACTCAGGCTCTTTGCCTTAATACACATTTGCTTGGTGAGGTATGGCCTGTTTGGCTTACCTCTAACTGAGCCGATAGCCCTTCATTGTTTGAAGGGGCTGTCTTGCATTTGCGTGAAATGCTTTGCGAGGAAACTCGCCTTGCAGTCTGGTGTTAGGCCAGACTGTACGCACTGTTTTCCTTTTTGCAAGCAGTCGTGCGCGCGACCGTTGCGTGCGACTATGCTCTCCGTCTCCTCCCCTCCCGACTTTAAGGGTAGGTCTTTGGGAGATGTTATAGTATCGGGAGCATAGCTCGCGCGCGCCGTTGCCTTTGGCCCAAGGCACGCGCGCCCGATTTGCCTGGACACCGCGAGTGTTCGCTATGTGCTGGAAAGACCGATACATCGATCTTATCCTATCTTATCCGTCCATTCCTCTTACTGAACCACGTCAGTACGATACCGCACGCTATTTGCCATCCGATGTCTACGGAATCGGATGCTATTTGAGTTACCAGGCTCACTTTCGACTCCGGGAGCTGCCCAAGAGGGCCAAAATTGAGCTCCCGGACGGCCCAAGAGAGCCCCAAGATGGGCCGAGAGATTTCCAGGACGGCCCAGGAGGGCTCCCAGATGGCCCAACAGAACTCCGCGAGCTGTTCAACAAGGACTACTCCAAGGTGCTCACGAACCTCCCAACACGCTCCGATAGGTGCCGACGAGCTCCCAAGAGAGCTTCCAGCCCCACCACCCTTTGCCGCCTCTGGATCCCCCGAAGCCCCAATGTGTCCTACAATGCGCGGGGCAGGAAGTGGAGGTTGCCCACCGTGGCAAAGCCAGAGGGGGGGCCGCCGGGAGGGCCTGCGCCTCCCAGGCGGCCCAAGCGAGTCCAGGAGGCCTCCAAGTTCGCCGAGGATGCCTCCAATACGGCCGATGATGGCCTCAAGATCGCCCAAGATGGCGTCCAGACGGCCTCAGAGGGCCCCAAAATGGCCCAAGACGGCCTCCAGGCGGCCGAAAAGCTTGCTAAAAGGCCCCCAGGGCGCTCCAAGAGCAATCCCAGCAGTGTCCCACGGTCCAACAATTGAAGGTTTCGTGTATGTTTTTGTTCCAGCATATTTAGAATATGCAACTGTTGGGCCAGTGCAACGTCCACGACGGCCCGACAGCCCCCAAGATAGTCCCAAGCCGCCCCAACAGGCCCCCCCACGAGAAACCCAAGGCGGCTCGAGAGAGCCCGAAGACGGCCCAAGACTGCCAAAGAGAGCCCCGAGACGGCCCAAGAGGCGCCCACGACCCAAGATGGCTCAGAGATGGCCCACTAGAGTCCCAGGTGTATCCCAAGACGGCCCTAAGAGCGCTCCCAGAGAACCCAAATAGTGCCCCCAACGGATGCTACACCGCACCTCCCTGTTGTAGCATCTGTCGGGCGTTTCCTGAGGGCCCTTTTGGTGCTGCCTTCGGGCCGCCAGGCTCCTCAGCTACATCATCAGCCAGGCTCCTGCGCCATATGTCAGCCAATAGGCTGTCGCCGCCTGTCGGCCCCGCCGCGTTCCCCTGCCAGGGCACCTGCGGATGTGCTCCACGGATGTCCACTAGTCAGTTACATCGGTGGGATCAGCGCGTGTGAGAGATGCGGCCAGTGGCGGCAGGCGTGGGTGCTGCTCGGCGACATGCGGGAGAACAATTTAGAGCCCGGCGCCATAAGTTATAGTTTGGGTATCACAGCGTATGAGAGGTCGTCTCGAGACTGTGCAGGATCCCTGGGCTATCCTCAGCTCGGCCTTTCGCGTTTTCTAATTTGTTGCATGCAAGGCCGTGCTGGGTAGCCACCATGATGTCAGTGGCGATCCACGGCGCAGGACACCACTGTAGATGTGGTTGCGTGGGTCCGCCCAAGTCAGCTACAGCGCTTGGATCAGCGTCTGCGCGAAGGGTGAACAGTGGCAGCAGGCGCTGGCGATACTCAGCGAGATGTGGGAGGCAAAGTTGGAGCATGACATCGTCAGCTACAGCGCTGGAGTCGGCGCGCGCGAAAAGGCGGGGCAGTGGCAGCGATCTCTGGTGCTGCTCAGCGAGATGTGGGAGCCGAAGGATGACCCCGACGTCATCAACACTGCAAGGCCAGACGGCGTGCGTGCCAGAATGATCCATTGACGAAGACGGCCCTTCCCTGAGCGGCGCTGCCTCGGAGGCTTCCTGCGGGGCAGGGCGCTCCTGGGCGCCCAGACGCCTCAGGGGTCGCCTCCTCTCGGCCCCTGGCGGGCCACAGTGGTTCCTGGCCCGTCGCCTGGGAGCCCCTACAAGTGCCAAGAGGCTCACGGGAAGCTCCAAGGCAAGCTCGAACATATCTCAATTGATAGCCCCCCGCGAGAGACCTCAAGAGGTTTCAAAGATGGCCCCTATGCCTGCCCCGCAAGCCGGCTCACGAGTTTCGCAGAAATCCCAAGAGGCCACCAAGAGGATCCTAAGAGATTGTCCGATCATCCCACAATGGTTCAAAGAGGCCCCTGGGTCGTCGTCTACACAGAGAGCCTCAGACAGGCACACATCGCTAAAATGCCGCCAAGATGGCCCAAGATGGCCCTGCATGGCCCTGCATGGCCTCCACGACCGCTCTGCAACATCAAGCACCGGTAGCGAGCAGCCACAGCACGCAGAAGCATACGGCGAGCAATTGCAGCGGCAGCACACAGCAACAACAAGCAGCAGTGGCATGGAGCAGGCAGCAGCACCCCGCAGCAGCACGCAGCAAGCAGCACTTGCAATCAGCAGCACCCTGCAGCCACAAGCAGCAGCATCAAGCAGCAGCGGCAAGCATTACCAACAGCATGCAGCAAGCAGCACCAAGCAGCAGCAAGCAGTAGCGCCAAGCTGCTTCAAGCAGCAACACGCAAGGGACAACACAGCCCGCAGCGGCGAGAAAGAGCAGCACGTAAAAAAGAGTGTGCCGACAAGGAGCACCAAGTATCGGCATGCGGCGTGACGCGGCAGCCAGCGGACGGGTACACTGAATCAAGCAACGCATAAAGATCCGGCTACCCAGCCAAAGGCTGTTACGCACGCAGGACAGCAGGCGGGTACACAAGCAGGCGAGCGACCCTCACTCTTACATGCGGTTCCGCTTTCCGTGAAGTGAAAAGTTCTCGTAGCTCTCTTGGCGCTCCTCGGCGAAGAGCTGCGCCTGAAGCGACGCACCCGCCTTTTGCGCCGCACGGGGGGGAGGAGGAGGAGGAGGAGGAGGAGGAGGAGGAGGAGGAGGAGGAGGAGGAGAGGAGGGAGGAGGAGGAGGAGGAGGAGGAGGGACGAGGAGGAGGAGGAGGGACGAGGAGGAGGACGAGGAGGAGGGACGAGGAGGAGGAAGGAGGAAGGAGTGAGGGAGGAGGAGGAGGGAGGAGGAGGAGGAGGAGGAGGGGGAGGAGGAGGAGGAGGAGGAGGAGGAGGAGGAGGAGGGAAAGGAGGAGGAGGAGGAGGAGGACCCCCAGGGCTCCCTGGCGCTCTTCCGAGCCCTCCGCTCCTCGCCCATCCCCCCGCGCGCCTCGCTCATCTCGCTCTTCGCTGCTTGCGACCGCCTCTCTCCTGGTCCCTCGCTCCCCACTCATGGCTTCAATCGGGTATAGCCAGGGCCCCAGGTCAGGGGACACAGTTAGTGGTAGGACCCCGGAGCTTCTAAATTGGCCAGAATCACCAAAACCAGGTCTGCCATAGCTGATGTTCTTTCGGGTGACGGCAGTTCCGGTTAGTGGAACGGGGCGGGGGGGCGCCCCCCCAGTACACATCACTAAACCAGGTCCCATTAAACCCAAGTCTGCCAACGCCCGATCCTGGTCCCTGGCTCCCCACTCATGGCTACAAGCCTTTTCAATTCTTCATCCCTCGTCGCATACACGTTGTTTGTTTCCAATGATTCGAAAGTTCTTTGATTTTTGGGGGGCCAGGATCCTTTCATTCCTAATTGTGCTATCCTGGGCCTCTTCCTGGCCACAAGGGGGCCAGGAACAATTAGAAACGAGCACCATTAGAAATGAGCACGGTTAGAAATGAACGACGTGTAGCCCTCCTGCCAGCTCACGCGGCCCCACGAGGGCCTCATGAGCGCCCCAGGGAGCCACGCGACGGCTCCTGCATCCCCCCCTCGCTCGCTCCTCCTGGCTCCTCCCTGGCCACTTCTTGCTGGCTGTTCCCTTCTCGCTGCTTGGGCCTCGGCTTTCGGCAGCATGTCCGCCATCACATCACATGCCGGTTCGAACAGATTTCGGGAAGGGAGTCCACGAGTCAGCCCCAGTTATCTACATTGCTACAACCAGCGCGTGCGAGAAGGGTAGATACTGGGATCTGGCGCTGTGGCTGCCAAGGGAGGCCTTGGAAGGGCAGCTGGAGCCAGACAAGATGTGCCTCAATGCAGGAATCGCCGCTTTCCATGCAGGGGGGCAGTGGCAGCAGGTGCTGCGGTTGGTGCGCTGGCGGTGGGAACTGAGCCTGGGACCAAGCACCATGTGCCACAGTGTTTGTACTTGCTAGTGCGAGAACTCCAGTCATCGGCGTCTGGGACTGTTGGTGTCGAGCGAGCTGTGGGATGGTGGCAATGCAAAGCGTAGACGGTTTGGAAGGGTGGCACCTCGACGAGTTGGACGAGGCTAGCATTGATTTGACTATCATCAGCCGAGATGGAGCCCCCTGTTGCGGGACGAACGGCCACCTGCAACGGGCATTGCTATTGCCCGACGTGCACAACAACACCTGCAAGCATCAGCGCTAGGTTCGACGACGAGGACGTGGCAAGCGTCTGAAAACATGTTAGGTGCAGCGTCGAGACGCTGAGAGACAATTCCGTTGGCAAGCGCACTGGCGAATGAGACGGTGAGACTGGATGCCATCAGTTTCAGTGGTGAAGCCAGCACATTCGAGAAGGTTTCGGTGCGCACTCAAGGCGGGATTTACTGTCGTCCAGCCAGCGTTGGGAAGCACCGCTGGAGCGCGGCAGATCTGGCCAGCTACCACCGTGACGCCGTCGGCAAGACCAGTTGCCCCTGGCATCAGACGTGAATGTAGCAAGTTGACGCTTGCTAACAATGCCGGGCGCAGCGCTCTTCAATACGCGTGACGAGCGCAGTCGCGGGTGTCGTTGTCGATCAGTGAGTCTCCAGATTTGAACCTGGCGCTCAACGTTGTTCTATAAGGGGGTGGTTGACCCAGTGAGTGCGGAAGAAATATTAGCAATTGCAGCATGCAGCGCGATCGCTCAGCATTTTGTGAGCGTTCCTTGCGCTTTGGAGCCCAACGTAATGTTACACCTGGCGCAATCTGATGTTCCATAATTCAAATGGTGGGCAGTGCCAGCTGATATCTTCGTGAATGCGGAGAGGGAGGTGGAAGGGGAGTGTAAAAGGGAGCATTTCGCTTTGAGTCCATGGAGTTTGAAATCCTTCTGACGAGGTGTCGAGACATGTCGGCGTACTAGGGCGGCCGAGGGGCGGTTAGATGGAATGGGGACGGCATCAAACGGCGGAGCCTAATCATGTCTTGACAAGCAGGGTCGCGGCGCGCACCGGTACTCCAGGGGAGTTTCAGGGCAGTTTGAGGGTACTTTGATGCACCTCGTGTTGCGCACGTGCCAGCAGTCCCCACATCGTTGACTCATCGAGAATACAAGAACCCCTAACCCTAGTAACATAATGAAGACGTGGCCTCACTGAGGTCCCCGTCTTGGCATTAGGGATAATTATTCTGGGCGGTTTGACCTGATACATCTGCAGAAAAGACCCCCTATCCCTAATGTGTTTGGCCCTCCTAACTTAGGTCCCCTCCCAAAGGGTTAGGGGCCCTTTTTTCGTTAATCACTGGCAACCTCAGGACAGCTCCCTGTCGGCTCCAAGCAATTATTGACGCTTCGCGTATCCCCACCAGCCCATCCAGAAACGATCAGCAGGGGAGTTGGTGAATCAGGGGCGGCAGAACGCATGCAGTCGCGCAGCCGTCTTTGAGAACACAAGCATCACACATAGCTTCCCGCATTGAAGTTTAAAGTGGAAATCAGTGCAAATTACGATGGTGCTTCGATGAGAGGTGAGGGGTATGTCGATGACTCGTAATGGCTGTTGCACTGATTTGTATCTTAAACTCGCGTGCGTTCCGAAACTTGGAGGCATCTTGGGGCCCTCTTGGGATTCTCTTGGGCTCCTCTTGGGGCCTCCTGGGGCTCTTTCTTGGGGCTCTCCTGAGGTCCTCTTAGGGTCTTCTTGGGGCTCTTTTGGGGCCTTCTTGGGGCCCTCTTGGGGCTCTTTTGGAGGGTCTTGGAGCCCTCTTGGGGCTCTTTGGAGGGGTTCTGGGAGGCCTCTCGGGGCCGTCTTGGTCCTTATGGCTAAAGGAAAAGGGGGGGGGGGGGGCGCAATTCTTGCCCCCCCTTCGGAGGCTCAAAAATGCTGCCTTGGGACCTTTATTGGCCCGCTCTTGGAGCGCTCTTGGGCGCTCTTGGGGCCGTCTTGGGGCTCTCTTGGGCCCCTCTTGGGGCTGCCTTGGGCCATCTTGGGGCCATCTTGAGGCCTCAAGAGCCCTTCGGAGGCGAAAAAGCGAGAAGGCAAAAAACATTGATTTCCTTAGGTGTTTGAAGGATTTTGGCCTCTTGGGGGGGTCCTTGGAGGCCTCGGAGGGCACTTGAAACCGTCTTGGGGCCGTCTTGAGGCCTCTTGGACGCGTGCCGGAGGCTATCTTGACCCGTCTACGGCTATCTTGGGCCATCTTGGAGGCCATCTTGCGCTCTCGGAGGCCCTCTTGGAGCCATCTTGGGCCATCTTGGACGCTGCTATGGGTCCGCCCCCCCCCTCCCCGTCCAAACGCAGGGAGGGGGGGGGGAGGTAATCCTCCCGAGCAGGGAAAGGCAGGAGGTTGGAAAGGGAAACGCCCTAGACCACGTGTACCAAGAGGGCTGGTGGGATTTGGGGTCCGACCGTTGCGTGCAGATCTTTGCCTCGAGACGTTGCCTCCACTCTGCCCGTCCCTGCGTTTGGCAGCGCGTGTCCAGGCTCCGACTGCCCACCCTTGGTCCACAGGTCCATTCAGCGGCAACGATAGGAAGGGGAACAGGCACAGGGGGGACGTATCGACCACAATCGCCCATTGATCGCCGATAGGGGCTCGATAGCCCCAACCTGCCCAGGAACGAGCGGATTTGCGATCGGGGGCCTATTGCCGATCTATCGGCGATGGATCGCCGATTCCAGGTCGATGTTCCCCCCCTATGCCAGTTCCCCCATATCGTTGCCCCCCATCCATGGCGTGGAGGGTTTCCTCATGGATGCGAGGCAGCAGAGGGATCCACAGTGCGTCCCTGCTGTCGTGGCCGCCATCAAGAGTAAGGGGAGGGCGAGGCAATGGAGTGCGGTGCTGGAGTTGCTCTGGGGTGCATCGCCTCCGGATCTGCATGTCGGTGCGGCCGTCCGTCTCTACAGTGCTGCTATCAGCGCGTGCGGGAACGGCAGGCAGTGGTGGTGGGCGCTGTGGTTGCTCAGGGAGATGGCGAAGGAAGAGATGGAGCCAAACATCATCCATAGGATGTATGTTCCACGCCAGGGATTCATCAGTCCATATCCATCGAGGTGGAAGCGTGACCCGAGGATGAGTTTTGGAGATGGAGGCGGGACATCTCAACTTCCAACTCTCCACGGCATCCTCGGGGAGCACATCTCCAGACTGGTGGGTGTCGAGGCGCCCGCCCGGCGTGGTCACACGAGTGGCTCTTGGCTCATCCCGCCACCGCGCCTTTGCAGGTCAGAGGCATCCGGGCGCTCTTGAGGAGTCTCGGGGCCCTCCTGGCCAGTCTGAGAGGCCTCTTGAGACCCTCTTGGGCCGTATCTTGGGGCCTCCTGGCCTCGAGGAGAAGCCTCGAGACAAGCCGCATGTAATGTGTGGTCCAGGCCCTTCAGTACACAGTCATTCAGGTTCAGGATTGGGGACTCAATATTCTACACGCTTCGCGTAACCCCAGCAGCCCATCTAGAAACGATGCCTTGACGAGCTGCCAGAGCTTGGCAAGACGTCCTACCCCAAGAGGGAGAGGATGGAGGAGGGATCGCAGGAGCAGGGGCAGGAAGAGTACGGAGGGGGGAGGGTGAGGAGGGAGGAAGGAGAAGGAATGGGCGGATGAGGAAGAGGAGGAGCAGGAGGGCGAGCAGAAAGGACAGAGGCTTCATTATGCCTCTCGGGGTCTCTTCGGATGTGTTTCGAGAGCGAGTCCTCTTGGGGCGTCTTGGAGTCTTCTTGGCAGTCCCAGGGGCCTCGTGGGGCGTCTTGGGTGCCTCTGGGGGGCCTCTTGGGGTCTCTTGGGGGTCTCTTGAGAGCCTCTTTTAGGCACCCTGGGGGCGTCTTGGGGGCCTCTTGGAGCCTCCTGGGCACCTCTTGGGGCCGTCTTGGGGCACCCTTTGGAGACTCAGGGGCCGTCTTGAAGGAGATCGATCAAAGGACGGGCCGTACTAAATTACGCCGGAAGTGGGCTCCTTGATCGGCCAAAACCTTTTTTGTAAAATTAATCATGTCGGCCTTCTCGCCGAGGCCATTCTGAACGCTCTGAAGAACCGCGGCCCACCCTGTCCAGGTCCAGGGGGAGAGGGTATGGGGGAGAGGTCAAGATACTTTTCCCGCCCGCAAGCCGTCTCGCTCACTCCCACCCGCCCTCCCAACACATACGTAGCACCCGAGTCGCAGCGTGTTCAGCGGTAGTCTTGGATGGACAGCGAATGGGAACCAAAACATGCCCCGTGTACCCATCGCTGCGGCGAGGTGCGCCAGGCGTGCCAGGCGCGCCGGGTGCGGCAGGCACCCCTTCGGCCCAAGCGAGCCGGACACGCCTGGTGCGCCAGGTGCGCCACGTAATCCACGTGCGGCATGTGTGTTGCATGCTCCAGCCGCGCCAGGTGCGCCACGTTCGGGCGCAGAGTGTGCCAGGTGCGCCTACGCACGTGGCAATACACATCAGGAAACGTGTCGGCTCCCACCACCCTTGTTGAAAAACAGTGCGCAATCGCTGCGGGATGGCTATCACAGCGTCTGGTGGGCCTGCACATAGCAGGCAATATGCCAGCACTTCCCCCCTCCCAGTCAAAAACAACAAATGCACAGTGATCGCGGGGCGCCCTCGCATGATCCAGATTTTGCCTCGAAGTGCATGTTGTGCTGTTTTTCCCAACCATCCTGTGGTGTTGAGTCCTCGTTTCGAAGAGACGGTGCCCCGCGTTCCTTCCTCCTCTCGCTTCTCCCTCCCCCTCCTCCCTCCTCCTCCCCCTCCTCCCTCCTCCCCCTCCTTGCCTTTGCTCTCGGCACACCTCTCACACGTTTCGTAGCCCCATAGGGAGCTCCACCGAAGGCCCCAGCGGGGGGTGGTCGCATGCTGGTCCCCCACCCAGGGCAGCGCTTCGTGGCCCCATAGGGTGCTCCACCGAAGGCCCCACTGGGGGTGTTCGCACGCGGGTCCCCCACCCAGGACAGCGCTTCGTGGCCTCATAGGGAGCTCCACCGAAGGCCCCAGTGGGGGTGTTCGCACGCGGGTCCCCCACCCAGGGCAGCTTTTCGTGGCCCCATAGGGAGCTCCACCGAAGGCCCCAGTGGGGGTGTTCGCATGCGGGTCTCCCACCCAGGGCAGCGCTTCGTGGCTGCATAGGGAGCTCCACCGAAGGCCCCACTGGGGGTGTTCGCATGCGGGTCCCTCGGCCAGGGCAGCGCTTCGTGGCCCCATAGGGGGCTCCACCGAAGGCCCCAGTGTGGGGGGGGGGTCGCATGCGGTTCCTTCACCCAGGGCAGCGTTACGTGTCCCCATCGGGAGCTCCGCCGAAGGCCCCATTGGGGGTGTTCGCATGCGGGCCCCCCGCCCAGGGCAGCGCTTCGTGGCCCCATAGGGGGGCTCTACCGAAGGCCCCACTGGGGGTGTTCGCGTGCGGGTCCCCCACCCAGGACAGCGCTTCGTGACTTCATAGGGAGCTTCACCGAAGGCCTCAGTGGGGGTGTTCGCACGCGGTTCCTTCACCCAGGGCAGCGCTTCGTGGCCCCATAGGGGGGCTCCACCGAAGGCCCCATTGGGGGTGTTCGCATGCGGGTCCCCCACCCAGAACAACGTTTCGTAGCCCCATAGGGAGCTCCACCGAAGGCCCCAGTGGGGGTGTTCGCATGCGGGTCCCCCGCCCTGGACAGCGTTTCGTGGCCCCATAGGGAGCTCCACCGAAGGCCCCACTGGGGGTGTTCGCACGCGGGTCCCTCACCCAGGGCAGCGCTTCGTGGCCCCATAGGGGGCTCCACCGAAAGCCCCATTGGGGGTGTTCGCGTGCGGCCCCCCCACCCAAGGCAGCGCTTCGTGGCCCCATAGGGGGCTCCGCCGAAGGCCCCACTGGGGGTGTTCGCGTGCGGGTCCCCCACCCAGGACAGCGCTTCGTGACTTCATAGGGAGCTTCACCGAAGGCCTCAGTGGGGGTGTTCGCATGCGGGCCCCCCACCCAGGGCAGCGCTTCGTAGCCCCATAGGGGGCCCCACCGAAGGCCCCAATGGGGGTGCCCGCATGCGGTTCCCCCGCCCAGGGCAGCGCTTCGTGGCCCCATAAGGAGCTCCACCGAAGGCCCCAGTGGGGTTGCTCGTTCCCCCACCCAGGGAAGCGTTTCGTGGCCCCACAGGGAGCTCCACCGCAGGCCCCAGTGGGGGTGCCCGCATGCGATTCCCCCACCCAGGGCAGCGCATCGTAGCCCCATAGGGAGCTCCACCGAAGGCCCCAGTGGGGGTGCCCGCATGCGGTTGCCCACCACCACCACTGTGGCAGGCCCCTCACACAGTTCGTGGCCCCATAAGGAGCTCCACCGAGGACTATGTTCACAACTGCGGTACTCACAACTGCATATGTTTGGGTCCTTCGCCAGGCTAATTTGGCAGGGATGCTGGACCAGCGCACAGCAAACGATATGCGTGCACCCCCGCCGTCCCTATCAACCAATTACCCGAGACGTACCCAACCCCTTCTCCACGGAAGACGATGGTCGGGTTGGGAGGATGGTACCGGGATAACCGAGGACATTCTTACCCGCAGACGGCCGAAGGTATCGTTCTTTCGCATCCCGACGCTATTGCTCATGCCCTTCATCCTCCCAACCCCTTCCTCCCAACACGATGATTTTGTTCTCCTCGGAAAAATATAAGACGCACGAAGTCGCAGAGTGCACGGGGATGGCGGGTCGGCGGCAGCTGGCGCCGAAGCCCGGGGGGATCGGAGGTGGATAGACCTCCTACCCTGACACGTCGATTCAGGAACTGGCCGGTTTCGGTTCGCGAGAGGGCGTCGCGGCCGTCGTTTTTGCGGGTCCAGGTCCGTCGGCTTCGGTCCCAGGCCGTTTTCATTACAGTCAAAAACCTGAATAAGGACGCGCGACTTTGCTCAGGGTACCCTTGCGTCCTTGCTCTTCCTTGCTCTTGCGTCCTTGGGGTTCTCGTCGTCCGCCGCCCCAAAAATCCCAACTTTGGCCTCCAAGGGTCTTGCGTCCTTACCGCGCGTCTATTAGGGCTTTTGATTGTAAGGGGAGGTTTACTGAAGGGAGGTTTGTCCACCGCCGAGGGGATGGCGGGCGAACGCTGCGCGCGTCGTGGCGCCCCCCCCCCCGCAGGGGGGGTGGGGAATGCTCGGGGGCAGGACTTTGGGGGCTGCGTGGGTACCAGCGCCTCCAGGGTTTGGGCCCGCCTGGAGGAGGAGGAGGAGGAGGAGGAGGAGGAGGAGGGGCGAGGGGAGGAGGGGAGGAGGAGGAGGAGGAGGAGGAGGAGGAGGAGGAGGAGGAGGAGGGGGAGGGACGAGGAGGAGGGGGACGAGAGGAGAGGAGGAGGAGGAGGAGGAGGAGGAGGAGGGGCGAGGAGGAGGAGGAGGGGAGGAGGAGGAGGAGGAGAGGGGAGGAGGAACGAGGAGGAGGAGGAGGAGGAGGAGGGACGAGGAGGAAGAGGAGGGGAGGAGGAGGAGGAGGAGGAGGAGGAGGAGGAGGAGGAGGAGGAGGAGGAGGAGCAGGAGAAGGTCCTCCGTCGGGCCGCTGCTTCTCTCCCTCGGCGGAAGCTGGGCGCAGCGCTGGGGGACGTCGGGCCAGCGGCGCTCGTCGGGGCGCCCCCTCGGGGGGATATGGGGTGGGGGGGGTCCTCGAGGGAAGGATCCCCCTCGGGGCCTCGGGGGGATCTGGGGTGGGCGAGGGGGAGGGGCGAGGGGCGCTCGTCGGGGCGCCCCCTCGGGGCCTCGGGGGGATCTGGGGTGGGGGGGGGCCTCGAGGGAAGGATCTGGGCAGGGATGCTTTCGGCTCCCCCGATTCGGTCTGCTTCGAGTTCGGTGGCTTCCGGTTCCGATCCGATTCGGCGTCGGCTTCCGATGGGAGCTCGGGTTTCCCAGTGGAGGCCTGCCTAATGGCCTGCCGATTTCGCTTCTCCCGGCTCGGCTGCCGATTTCCGCGCCGATCCGAATCATCTGATGATCGCCGATCCGACTTATCGATTCGATTCTGGGCTCTCCTGATTTGGGGGCTGCGTGGGTACTAGTGCCTGGCTTTTTTTCCGCCCGAGGTCCCCCATCGGGCTTCTGCTTGCACGGAGTTTCCCAGTGATGCGAGTGGCGCCGAGATATCGGTCGTTTTTCGGCGGGCTCACTGCAACCCCTCCACCGAACGGCAGCGGGTCCACCGGGTGATGCCTGCGAATGGCGGCGGAGGAAGAGAGGGACGCCATCACGTTTTGGTTCCAGGGTTTCCGGGAACTCACCCACGTGGGCACTGGCCGAAATGTTTGTCGGCTTCCATCCTGTAGAGGATGCCGCGGTTTGTGTGTGTATGTGCGTGCGTGTGTGCGTGTGTGCGTGTGTGCGTGTGTGCGTGTGTGCGTGTGTGCGTGTGTGCGTGTGTGCGTGTGTGCGTGTGTGCGTGTGTGCGTGTGTGCGTGTCTGTGTGCGTGTCTGTCTGTGTGTCTGTCTGTGTGTCTGTGTGTCTGTGTCTCTGTGTCTCTGTGTCTCTGTGTCTCTGTGTCTCTGTGTCTCTGTGTCTCTGTGTCTCTGTGCCTCTGTGCCTCTGTGTCTCTGTGTCTCTGTGTCTCTGTGTCTCTGTGTCTCTGTGTCTCTGTGTCTCTGTGTCTCTGTGTCTCTGTGTCTCTGTGTTTCTGTGTCTGTGTCTGTGTCCGTGTCCGTGTCCGTGTCCGTGTCCGTGTCTGTGTCCGTGTCCGTGTCCGTGTGTCCGTGTCCGTGTCCGTGTCCGTGTCTGTGTCTGTGTCTGTGTCTGTGTCTGTGTCTGTGTCTGTGTCTGTGTCTGTGTCTGTGTCTGTGTGTGTGCTGACCGGAGCGCGCCGACTTTTTGGCCCGGCTCGGGGCCCCGCAGGGGCTGGAGGCCCATGCTCCCCGCGCCTTCTTCCCCGACTGCCGCTGGCGACGAGCATGCACCTCCGCGCGCAGCTTTCCTCTCGGGCAGGCTGGGAGGCGAACGCATGCACCTGAAGCGTCAGCAGTGGCGGGCCGACACCCGCTCGCCTCCTCGCAGGCGTAGAGGCACGACGCGAGGGAGAGGAGGAGGAAAAGGAGGGGCTCCTCTATATATACCACAGCCACCAGCACGTCCCTGGCCTCCCGAGCCTTTTTGCTCCTGGACGCGGCGCCAGCCTGTCGAGCGCTGCTGGGCGTTCGCGGGCAGGCGGCCGAACGCGACACCCAAATCTTTGAGAGCTTCGTGGCGCTGCGCGCATCTCCTCTTCTCTCCGCTGCCCCTGCTGCTGCGCCACGCTGCTGCACCCGGGCGCCAGCACGGGCGGCGCCGCCCCGCCGGCGGTGGGTTTGCTCCGGGTCCGCCCCGAGGCCGTCTGTTCTGATGCCAGGCGCCCTGCGTGCAGGAGTGGCGGGCGCCCTACAGGCGGGCCGGACGAAAGGGAGGGATTGGGAAAGGGGGGGGTACGAAATTTGCTGCATGCAGCTGGTCTCGGCCTCGCCGAG